TTATGTTGATGAATTATGCGATGAATTATGTTGATGAATTATGCGATGAATTATGTTGATGAATTATGCGATGAATTATGTTGATGAATTATGTTGATGAATGATGTTGAGATGCCTCTAATAATTGGCAGTTATTAAGATGTAGGCTTCTGGGAAACTAAGATGTTGTGTTGAGATGTTGTTAAGTGTGGTTTTTATTACTACATTCATGATTGTGTCGCATACATTGCATATCAAGATGGAGCAGATGCTCGTTAAGATGGCCTGTATTGGCGAATATTAAGATGAAGGCTTATGCCTTGTTGATGCCTCTATTTATTGGCAATTATTTTGAGATGGGAGTTCTTCTCCAATGGTACCACATGCATTTGCATAGTATTGAGTCGCATTATATGATTGCATAAAGAAGTTGTGTATTGATGCGGTAATGTTGTATGTTGTTGATGTTCCCTTACGTTTATAGTTGTTTATAAGATGTGAAGTGGTGTTATTATATGAGTTGATCTAACATATTATTTATCATACATTTTATTATATTGTTAGATATCTCACCCCTTCTGTTTGAATGTTACCCTTACGTTGGTAACATGCAGGTAATCTAGAGTGAAGGTGGTTTACCTTCAATAGTTCGAGTCGGTGTCATTGCTCGTAACACTCGGGGGGATGGAAGCTTGTTGCTTTTAATTAGTGATTGTTCCAGTTGTTGAACTTTAATTTGATTGTTTCTAAGTATGTGTTATTTTGAAGTTGTTGTAATTGTTGTACAAAGATGTTATTATGATTTCGTTGCGTAGATGTTTAAGTTTTTTAATTAAGAGATTAAATTATTTTGCTGATGGTTCATCCTAAGTTTTAAAGTGTTATGTATCCACGTTGAATGCAATGTGTTTTTAAGTTGAATTTGTGGCATCCTGATTCAGTTGTATGAATTTTTAAAGCTCTGATTTACATTCATAATTGTCGGGTAAAATTGGGGTGTTACATATCAACCATACCTTTTCACCAGTCATGTGATTCGAACAACCAGAGTCGAGGAACCAGATCTTGGATTCAACATGGTTATCCATCCTTGCATCCATAACCACCATACCTTCAGAATCATTTGAATCTTGGCGTGCAAGGTTTACTCCTTCGTCCTTGCCTGTCGATCACTTCTCTTTCCTGTACCAATAATTCTTGGCGAAATGACCCCACTTTTCATAGTTATAGCACTACACACCTTTTTTATATTCTTTGTCCTTTTGATATTTTCCTCCTCCTCTTTTTGAGGATTCAAAAGCCTTATCATCGATTTTATTCTTGTGAAAATTCGACCAAGACTTCTTACCCCAAGTCTTGTCGAACTTGCCTTTGAATTTGTTAACACCCCAAAATAATTAGAGTATTTATTTAATTATTTGATTGATTATGATGAGTAATTTTGATTTATTTGTGATGTATCTATGAGTATATATATATATATATATATATATATATATATATATATATATATATATATATATATATATATATATATATATATATATATATATATATATATATATATATATATATATATATATGATATTTTGATGTATGTGAAGTGATATTGGGTATTTTAGATAATTAGTTTTTATTATTTAGAATTATTATTAATAAAATAAATAGAAGTATAAGGTGTAGAAATAAGGAGGGCAAGATAATAACTATGAATGGATAAGTGAGGGTAATATGGGAAAACTATAGAAAAGTTTCAAGGGTTAAACTAGGAAAAAGAGTGTCATACTTTTCATTATGTGCAATCGTGAAAATTTGGAAGAAGCGCTGAAAGAGAGATAGGGCCCAAGAACTTAAAGGAACATATAGATTTAGGTAGAATGCGAAGTGAAAGATTTGTTGCTAGAAATTGACGGTAAGGGGAGTTTATCGTTGTTATTATAATCGATCTAAGGTTTAGATAATTATTAGTTAGTCTTGGGGTTTTGGGATGATGATGTAAATATGATGATGTGATGAAAATTGATGAACTTGTGAGATTGTTTTCCAATAAATTGAGGTATATGATGAAAAATAACTTGTGTTGGTATTGTATAATGAAACTATGTGAAACCATGATGAGATCGTAACAGGGAATTCATGTTCGCGTTGGCTCGCTGGGCGAGCATGATGAATTGTCAGACGAAGGAAGTTTGCCCCTGATGCACTGAGAGAGCGTGAGGCAAAGGGAAGGGGTGAAAACAGAGCCCCTGAACTTTTGTATGAGAGAATAAGACTCCGTCCAGCTTCGTCGGGCGGAACAGAGGCAAGCTAAGCTCGCCAAGCGAGCGAACATCCTCGTCGGGCGAAGGAAACATGAGGGAAATGCATGCTTCTGGATTTTGTATAGGGGAAACTGATTTTCCCCGTCCTCGCCGGGCAAGCCTCAGGCGAGCAACCTGCTTCGTCGGGTAAGCCTTAGGCGAGGGGTGTCTGATAGAACTTTAACAGGTCGTAACTTGAGTTTCAAGATTCCATTTAATGTGCCGTTTGAAGTGTTAGAAAGTTAACGCGATGAACTATACTTTGGTGGAGTAAACTGAGTCATATGATGTGTTTTCCAGTGTCAAGGTTTTTATGAATAAGATGATTTGGTGATTTTTATATTATGATGTATGTGTATATGATGAATTATTGTTGCTATCGTGATGACGTGTATAATATGAAGTATGTGATGATAATATGATGATTATGTGAATGATGATGCATTTTGACTAGCAGTGGTCATGTTGTTATTGATATGTTTTGCATCATGCATTCATGGCATATGATTAGGACTTCGGTCCAGTGATGTTGTTAGAAATTCAGTCTAGTGAAGTTTATAGGACGCATAGTCCAGTGATGGCCCCAATCTCATAGTGCGAATTTGAGTGCAATTTTGTGATGTGCTCTGGTTCCAAGTGGGAATCGATCCTATTGGTGAGGATCTTTGAAGAAACGATGATTGAGTCATCAGTGAAGTTTTGATACCACATGCATGAGTCAATGATGTTGCATTGCATTATATGTGACATTGCATAATGATTGATTAAGTGGTGCTTTGTGAATATGTGAACTAATGATGTCTTGATGATGATTGTTGACTGATGATATGATGATGCTATGAATAAATAATGAGTTGAAGGTATGGGTATAACATGAAGTTTTGATGGTGTGTGGTGTCTTCCTATTGTGTTATAACTACTATATTTATTCCTTGTGTCTTTTATAATGATTATGATTACTCAACTTTTCTGCTTGGAAATGTTGCCTCTATACGTAACTTGCAGGTGATCTGGATTAGTGCAATGAAGCTTAGAGGATTAGCTTCTGAGTGTGTTATTTATTTCTGTTGAATAAGAGGGTCTTGCTCAGATATGTAACATTGGGGTTGGGAATATTTTCTTTGAGATTATTATGTTCTCTTGCTTAATTTGAGATGACGGGTTACCTTTCATGGTATCTATTTGTTGATTTACGAATTATTAAATGTGATGGTATTTTAATTAAATTATTTAATAAGATGTTTTTGATACAATATTTTCACTTCAATGTGTTGAAGTTTTTTATGATATTTACCAAGAGATAAATGTTTAATTTTATAAAAACTCGTTTTACGGAGTAAGATATGTTTGTATAATATTTATATGAAGATGTGACACCCTTGTTGGTAATTTTATTTGAATTAATTCATAAAATATATGTGAAATGTATGTGGGTTTAGAAAGGTGTTACAAGAATCACCATTATTTTCAATGGCTGAGCCTACAGAGCTTGTATCGAGTCTTGAACTCCTTTCCTTTCGACAATCCTAATCTCATGCGCTTTTAACGAACCAACCAAATCTTCCAACTTTAGGGTTTCAAGTTGATTGGATTCTTGAATAGCTATGATAACGTGATCAAAGTGAGAGATCAATGTACGTATTACCTTCTCAATTATCATCTTATCAGTTAGGATTTCACCACAATCCTTCATAAGATGGACGAGTTTCTACACTTTTGACACATACTATGCATTCTTTTCGTCTTCTCCCATCGACAATAGTTCATATTGTCGATGCAAGGCCTGCAACTTGACAACCTTGATTTTCTCACCTCCTTCATAGTAGTTGACAAGAATATCCCATGCCTCATTCGCCGATTCAACATGAGAAATTTTGTCGAAGTTCGCCGCATCAACCGTCGTCTGAATGCAATATCCAGCCTTGCAATCCTTCTTCTTGGCTTCGTTATGGACGGTTTTCTGTGTGTTGGTTGCATTTGCAACTAGCGCAGGAACGTCGTTGGTAATCACTTATAAGGTTTCATGAAATCTAAATAGAGATTGCATCTGTTTTCTCCATCGAATCCAATTCTTGTCGTCAAGAGTTGAAAGAGAATTCGAAATACTATTGTTATCATTCATCTTTGCAGCGATTACTAGTGAACAACCCACAAACCCAAAAATACGACCTCTGACGTGTGACTCTTGAAAACACGATTAAGAATCTAAACTAGACTCTAAATACCAATTTGTTAGTGCGTGGGACACTTTTAGTGAGGAGAAAAAGAGCGAATAAAAGAAGAAAAAGAGATTACGTTATTAACTTGAAATGTTATAAATAATGATACAAACAATGCATATTTATATACAACTTTAATTGAACTTGAACTTACCAACTTAAATTATATTTAAATATTAAATCTAATATTTCGAACAGTTTTATAATCTCACCACAAAGTTTGTTTTTTTATTACAATCACCACAATAAGTTTTTTATTTCTACAAAAGTTCCATCACAAAATGTTATGTAATATGTACCCCTTACCATAAATTGGTGATGATAAAGTGTGGTTATATGATTCTTATGTTATGAATATTAACTATTCAAAAGTCAAAATATATAACAAATGATAATGGCCAGCTTTTCCCAACTTCGTAAAGTTCTTTATTGTAGGCCTCACTACAAACTAACCTCAATCCTGTCACTCCACACACACATATATAAATGTAGTTTTGTCAAGATGCTTGATAATCCATCTTTTGCATTATTTGAAGATTATCTAATAATGGCTAATTTGCTTACACTGTTTTTTGTCATAATGAGTTGTTTCAAATTAGGAGTATATGGATTGAGCATGAACTACTACTTGTTTAGCTGCCCTTTTGTTGATTCTGTTGTTAAAAACGATGTCAACAAAGCTCTGCAGGATGATCCCACCCTAGCAGCAGGTTTAGTTAGAATGCACTTCCATGATTGTTTCATAGAGGTTCTCTCTCTTCTATCTATCCCCACTCTTTTTTAACATATATGATACTGAAAAGTGGTTGGTTAATATTTTTCTTGTATGATAGGGATGTGATGGGTCAGTTCTAATAGACTCCACTAAGGAGAACACAGCAGAAAAAGATTCACCTGCAAATTTGAGCTTGAAAGGATACAAAGTCATAGATGATATCAAACTAGAGCTTGAAAAGCAATGTCCTGGAGTGGTTTCATGTGCTGATATTCTTGCCATGGCTGCTAGAGATGCTGTTTTCTTTGTAAGATCATATTTTCTACACTTTTTGTTATTAGAGGATATATTGTTTTTCATGAGGTATGCTATTTGGACAATTGAAACCACCACCTGTAATAAATATAGTATAAAATATATTATTATTATTATTATTATTATTATTATTATTATTATTATTATTATTATTATTATTATTATTATTATTATTATTATTATTATTATTATTATTATTATTATTATTATTATTATTATTATTATTATTATTATTATTATTATTATTATTATTATTATTATTATTATTATTATTATTATTATTATTATTATTATTATTATTATTATTATTATTATTATTATTATTATTATTATTATTATTATTATTATTATTATTATTATTATTATTATTATTATTATTATTATTATTATTATTATTATTATTATTATTATTATTATTATTATTATTATTATTATTATTATTATTATTATTATTATTATTATTATTATTATTATTATTATTATTATTATTATTATTATTATTATTATTATTATTATTATTATTATTATTATTATTATTATTATTATTATTATTATTATTATTATTATTAATATTGTGTTTTGTAGAGTTGGATAACACGTAACCAAATTCTAAAACTTTTCCTATTAATTTTTAATTTTTTTGGTGTATTATATGATTATTAGCTCATACCGTGAATCATCTATAAACTATCATCTATTGGTTATTCGTAGGTGTTATAAACAAGCATGTCTATCCTTTTTTAATTAATTTTACAAAAATTCAAAAAAAAAATGAAGATAAAACAGATGTTATCGAAAATACGGATCTAAAACCTTAATCCATTTTGTAAAAAAATGAGAATGGAGAAGACTCGCATGTACTGAACCTTTAAAATTTGTAAATTATAAAAATTTATGTTAGTGTTTGCTCTTGAAAAAATTAGACGGGATAAGATAAACATATTAGAGAATACGAGATTAAAACTTTATCATATTCTAAAAAAAATACGGACAAAATAAACATATACAAAAAATCAAACTCATTTTATCACTTTTAATTATCAATTATAAACTATCGGCTATCTTATCTATCAAGCATTTTTACCATAATGAAGTTCCATTATTTTGTAATATTATTAAGTAATATTCTTTATTCATGACATGTTCAGGCTGGTGGTCCTGTGTATAACATACCAAAAGGAAGGAAAGATGGAACAAGGTCTAAAATTGAGGATACTTTCAATCTGCCTCCTCCATTTTTCAATGTATCTCAGCTCATTAGGATGTTTGGCCAACATGGTTTTTCTCCAAAAGACATGGTGGCTCTTTCCGGTAACAATTGTGCTTTAATTAATATATCCATCAATGTTATAGTTCGGTTTAGAACTAAAATTGATAGGCAAAAGGATGCGGTAATTAATACTTTGTTGTGGTGGGATCCTATTTTTATGCGGCGAAGAGGGATTGATTTGATTAACAATTCAGTTGGTATTAGAATAAAAGGTAAAGTGTGACTGAAATTAATTTGAATACTTAAATGAACCACTTTTTTCTTTATACAGTGAGAGCGATATAATCATCTCCGCTAGACGAGACTATATATATATATATATATATAATCTAATAAGACTAAGATAATGAGAGATCATCTACTTCACTCTTTAGCGTTTCATGACATTCTTGGACCTATCATTTTTGACTTTGCAAATAGTCAGAATAATTACTAAAAATATCTTTTTGTATTTAAAATTTTGAGTTCGAATTTGGATCATGAAATTTTCATCGTCTCTAAAATTGTTTATTTAAATATGTATCGATTACATTCGGCCAATAACAATATGATTATGCAATAATTTTGTTAAAATAGTAAAAATAGTATCATTAACTATTTTGATTATCCAGGAGCTCACACACTAGGAGCAGCAAGGTGTGTTTCTTTCAAGGAAAGACTAACCCAATTGGATCAAACATTGGATTCAGAATTTGCAAAAACACTCTCCAAAACATGCAACATTGGTGACAATGCTGAGCAACCTTTTGATGCAACAAGAAACGATTTTGATAATTCATACTTCAATTCTTTGGTCTCAAACAATGGTGTTCTTACTTCGGACCAAACATTGTACAATAGCGCACAAACTAGGAACATTGTGAACATGTATGCAATGAATCAGGCATTGTTCTTCTTGGATTTTCAACAAGCTATGGTGAAGATGAGCTTGCTTGATGTAAAAGAAGGTTCTAAGGGGGAAGTAAGAAAAAATTGCCATAAAATAAATTGAATATATTGGATTGTGGTTTGTATGAGGAGATGAGAAGTACATGATCTATATATGAAATAAAATATGTATGGTTTGTTCTATAATCTATAACTATATTAACATTTTTATTATATGTAAATGTTAAAATGAATGAGATTTTAATATTATCTTCAAAGTGAAGATAGTTTTTCCAAGGAAATATTAATACTTTTATAATATAAAAATTTGTATAAAATTTAATTTTCTATAATTTATTTTAAAATTTTAGCAAAGAAATTTTTATTTTTTTCAAGAATTAACTTTCAAATTCATTTGAATTTTAAAAACATTTATTAAAAATTAATAAATTATGAATATTTACACTAAAAATACACTTGCAAATTGCAATATAATTTTATATTTGATTAATAAGTTAGTTGAAGAACATATATCATTGTCATCTATTTGTATTTGTATGTTATTCCTCTATCTTTATGATGACTATAAAAAATAATTTAATTCAATTCCAACTTTAACTCTGGGGTTGTTTTCACTCCAAAAATCAATATACAATTAAGTGGTATTTGCAACTTTTATCACTTCTTTTTCGGGTTGTCAAAGGTTCAATAAGATCGGTATAACAATGTGACACAATTGATATAAAGTATTATTAAGAAATTTATGCTATCGCACGAATCCGGTCTGAATTTATATTAGATGTATACTAAATATTCATTTGTAAAGTTTTAATTTATATTTTAATTGGTTAATATTTATATAGTTACAAAATATAAGTTAATAATATGCATCAACTTTTAAGCATTGGTCCGTACTTATAATAAATCCTATAATCGATTATCTAACTTCAATTATACAAAACAGTAACAAAAGAAATATTTAAAAGATGGATATTAAATGGATAGTCTATAGCTGGTATCTCATAGATACGTTTACATCTACCCGTACATGAATCTATGCCTGCAAAGACCTTCATTACGACGAACAATTTACAACTGTTAAATTGAGAAATAGCAAAAGAAAAATTTAAAAGATGTACATTAAAATAAACGGTCTACATCTGATATCTCATAGATACGTTTACATTTGTCCGTGAATCTATTTCATGTATTCAGTTGGTTAATATTTTTTGTAAGCAATATATATTAGAGAGAAGTACAAAGGATACTCGAACCTAATTACAAAAGCACGAGATAAAACTCGAGAAAGGAGAAATTACATAACCAACTCCACCTTAGAGACAAGTTAAACAAATAACAATTGTTAAACTCACAAAAGATACAATTGAAAAAAAGTAATTCCTCCATAAAATCACCACCTCCTAATCGAAAACTTAACCTACCGATCAATAACCAAAAAGCTCCTCCCAACAATCTAAATCGATCAAAGCACCCGACAGAGCAAACTCCACCTCTAATAAAAAAACAATTTGATGATCATTTTAACAATTTCAAATTCACTGTCCTTCCCACCCTTCTGGCTTTATCATATTTCTCCAATTCATCGATTCTCTTCTTGTAATCCTTTAAAGAGTCCCCACCAAGATTAGAAATCGTCTTCCATAAAAATTTAACATTCATATAGTTACAATATATAATCATTTATCAAATTTAAATTTTCCGTTTATAAAAATAATTGTAACTTATTATTGTTTATAAAAATAATTGTTCCAATAGATAGATTTTTCCCCGTTTATAAGCGCCTCAAACTCGCGTGTCTATTTATAAAAAAATATTTGAAATTTATTCCCGTTTATAAAAAAAATTGTATCAATAGTTGAATTTTTCCTGTTTATAAAAATATTTGTGATGTATTCATGTTTATAAAAATTATTGTAGATTATTTTTGTTTGTAAAAGTAATTATATCAATATGTAGACTTTTTCCGTTTAAAAGTGTCTTGAACTCGTGTGATAATTTATAAAAATATTTTAACTTATTCATGTTAAAAACAATTGTATTAATATTTGGATTTATAAAATTATTTATAATTTATTCATGTTTATAAAAATGATTGTATAAATTTTTACTATTTATCATTATTTTTCATGACTACTATTTATCATATTTTTTTAAAAGATTTTGTTTTGTTTTAGTAATTTATAGGCCTAAATAATTACAAAATATATTTTATTTCAAGTAAGAATTTTGAATATTAATAAAAATATTAAATAATAATAAAAAAACAAATTAGTAGTATTAGACACTTAAAAACCAAAACATGGTATAATCATAACACATTAAATTAAAAAGACATAATGAATAATGGCGAGTCGAGGGAAAGGAAGAGGGAGACCGGGGCGGCCGAAAAAATCGGTGCCTCCACCACTAGATTCAGACTCTCCTCTGCCTGAAAAATAATTGTTCTCATAGGCTAGCTCTAGTAATTCTCCAACAGTAATTGAGGAAGATGAGGAGTTGGAAAAAGAATAAGTGAGTCCCAAAGAAACCCTAAATCAGAAATCGATAGAACCCCAAAAACTTTGGGTTGATGTGCTTAATGACAACATGAATCCTGCGAAGGGTAGACCTATGAAGTTCATTGCGCCGAAGATTGTTGATGGCAAAATTGAAGTGATAATCAAAGAGAATGATGTCTTTACTGAAATCAAATTTTGGCAACCCTCCCTTATCTTGTATTCGCTGGGTGAGAATCTCAGCATGAATGCGATTAAGAATTTCATGATTCGGAGCTGGAGTTTTGTGTAATTACCGGATATATATTTTGATGATGAAGGGTATTTTATCCTGCGTTTCAAGAGCTTCAGTGATAGAGATGAGGTCTTGATGAGGGGTCCATACATGTTTAGGAATGTGTTGCTACTGATTAGAGAATGGAGACCAGATTTCAAGCTTAAAGATCACTTGCTGAGAACTCTTCCTATTTGGGTTAAGCTTCCTCAACTTCCCGTCTACTTTTGGGGTGATACCAGTTTGAATAAAATTGGCAGTGTCCTTGGTAATCTGATAGTCACAGACGAGTGTACTACGAGCAGACTGAGGGTCTCTTATGCAAGAATACTAGTAGAAATGGACATTACCAAGGAGCTCCTAAAATCCATTACAATTAGCGACTCTGATGGCGAGAAGATACAGCAGACCATTAAATACGAATGGAAACCTCTATTTTATGGTAAATGTCAGGAGGTGGGACATAATTGTGATAAACCTACAGCCAAGAAGCAGTGGATACCTAAGACTAAACCCCCTGACCCCTGTTCCATAACAAATGTTTTACCTGCTAATAAGCTTGATCCAGTGTCAATTGAAGCTGCTAACAAGATAGAGGCAGTGGCTGCTGAGAAAACCTATAAGAAAGATGAGGAAAAATGGACAGAGGTGATAAAAAGTGGCAAAGATAGGGGGAAGATGCAAGCTAAACATGACCCTTCAGGTAAAGCCTTTTGTGTTAATGACTTTGATGCTCTAGGGATTTTGGATGATCTGCTAGAACTTTAAAATACTAGCCAATGATTGTGTCCTGGAACATCAGGGGACTAAACAAAATTACTAAGCTCAGGGAGATTAGCTCCCGTCTCCTAGAGCTTAGAGCTGACATTAATATTCTCCTTGAAATTAGGGTTTAACCTTCTCAAGCTAACTCAGTCAGGAAAAAGCTTAATATTGGTGATAACTTTGTAGATAACTATGTTCATCATGATAATGGCCGCATCTGGATCAATTGGAATCAAAATAAAGTGGGCATTAGAGTCGTGGCCAGCTCCAACCAAATGGTTCACTGTGAAGTCCTGGATAATCATGGGAATTTTAACTTTTGTATTACTGCCATATATGCTCTTAATAAGTTGGAACAAAGGAGAACTCTTTGGAAGGATTTTCATAAACTCCAGCAACAGGGTCCTTGGATTCTTGTAGGTGATTTTAATAATGTCCTTAAAGCTCAAGATAGGATTAGGGGTAATATGGTCATTGAAGCTGAATATTCAGATCTGCAAGATTTCATGTTAAATAGCAGGCTATCTGAAATGGATAGTAATGGGGACTATTATACTTGGTCTAACAATCACTCAGTGGGGACTATCTACTCTAGGATTGATAGGGTAATTGAGAATTCTGACTGGTTTCAAAAACACTTGGGTGTTTCTCTCAGTAATTTACCCCTGATGCATCCGCAAGTGCGCGAAAATATCAAAGTAATATAAAAGATTGTCGAACCATAGAGACCAATGTCAACCTACTGCAATCTAACGCTACTTTGTAAAGCTAAGGCTAATGAATAATTGGTTTTTGGGGGAAATTAAGAACTAAAACTAAAAATGAATTTAGAAAATATAATAATAAAGAGAGACCAGAATATGGTTTTCGCGTTCCTGAAGGACTTATAGAAAACGGGTACTAATTACAACTATAACTTAGTTCCATAGAATATACTGACTTAAGGACTCCGTCTCACGCTCTCGCGATATTAACTAAAGCCATACTTACTAATCCCAAGATTTTGCTCTCGCTCGCTGTTTACAGTGATTTCTGGTAAACAACCGCTAGTCCTCCAAACTATCGAATAAACTTACTGACTGTTATTCAATTTCTCTGGTAACTCGCAGGATCGACTAGATTGATCCTAGGATGTGTTGGACATTAGGGTAACTCTCATGATCGAACAGGTATTCATGGTTGGTGTTTGGAATGTTGTGTAGGTGTTTGACTTATTTCGATTTCTCTCTTAAAGATCTAAAGGTGTAATCAAAATATATGTGCACGAAACTAAATTGCATGAATAAAAGTTAATTGTAAAGACATGTAAAAACTGCATAAAAGACAAGTAAATGACTTCGAAACTTAAAACAAAAAAGTTAATGTAAAAGATTCGAAATATGAAGAAAGCGTTTAATGCAAGAAAACTGTAAAATGGCTTTAAGTAAAAAAGGTGTTTGATGGATAAAAACTTGAAGATAAAGGCATGAAATGTATAACAGTTTCTGAAATGTAAAGTGGTTGAAATGGAAAGAAAGCATTTAAATGTAAAGCATCAGTGAAAAGATTTCGAATAAAAAGACTTTGGATGTAAAAACTTGTAAATGGTATTGACATAAAGATAAGGAAAGTACTGGAAATGATAAAGGGTTTTCATTAAATCATAAACATGTGGTGTTATCATACGTACATTGCTCTTGCATTCGTTTCCCTAGCCATGTGGTAATTTGAATGTTTACTGAGTATTTTGTACAAATAGATATGACACCCGAAATCCTAATGCTAAGACTTCTATTTATACTACTTCGACCATAACGGTCTTACTATAAGATTCTGCCACGTTCAGAACATGCAGAGCAATGCCTCTCTCTTGCTTCCACGTGTCTTCGAATGCTCCAGCGCATATATTTCAAATTTCGAACATCCCGCTTGCATTTGAATTTCAAATGTTTTGGTACTTCTTCGCTTCGAACGCACTTCTTAGACACAGCCTTGTTGTCATTTCGAGACTTCTTTGGATATATTCTCATAACTGTCACTCGAAGCTCCAAGCTCTGATATGCTTATTCGAAGCATTGCTTCTACTATTTCGAAACATGACGTTTTGTTTCATTTCGATCGAAACGTTCCATTTACTTTGCTTCTAATAATACTATCAAAATCTTCAGCCAACAAAATGCCCCTTTAAAATATGTATTTTGATTCCTTTGAGAAATAATTATTTTAAATATATACACAAGATTTTGATGCGACTTTCGAATCATCGTAACATTTATTGCATTTGACTCCAGTCACGTCAATCATAACACTTTTTAGATTCCTTAACCGCCTTGAACCATTTCACAGTATGGTGCAGTTACAAAACAATGATTATCTTTAATCACGCCTATTACCAATGTTAACTTTACGCCACCTCTTCATCAAACCAACCCATGATTACCACGTATCACAACCTTACTCAGTGGATGCTTAAACTTCCATATTATAAAAACCCATCAACTTAGTCTTTTTCTTTTCTTCCCACATTCTGAATCTTTTCTCCTTCTTTTCACACCGAAAACCCTAAGCTTTCAACATTCTTCCAACAATGTCTTCTTCTACTTCATCCCAACTAAAAAAGGTTTCCAAAAAGAAAGGAAAGACTGCAGGAACTACCATGGAAAGCAAGGTTGTAACTCACCAAGGTCAATCTGTTCTTGTTCCCCAGATGATCTCAAAGGAGAAAGAAATGCTTTATGCATCCCAGGTACTTATTGTAGCGGTGAAAATCGGAAATCAAGCTATTAATTAACTTGACTCACAAAAAGCAAGAGTCGCCACCGCGCTTTATTATTTCCAAGGGAAAAGGGAAAAGAGCGAAATAAAACCCTAAAGTATGCAATGTAAAATAATACTTAAAAGTAATAAAAAATACAATGCATTTTTGAAAGAGATCGAGAGTTCGGGGGTTGGTTATACAATGGGAAGGTATTAGCACCCAATGCATCTGCGGTACTCCGCAGGAACCTTTTGAAATATCTGTTTTTTGGTTAAAAATTGTTTGTTTGATTAAAATGGTTCGTTTGGCTAAAAAATGGGTATGGACGAGATTTTGAAGATGCGACGACCTATTGTCGAAGTTTTGACTTAAAATGTGTGAGTTTAAAAATTGAATCTTTTGGGAAAATTATCTTAAGTTTAGCAAAATAGCAAACAAGCAAAAAAATGAATGAAGGGGTTCGCGCAATCGTATGAGATATGTTTGATGACATGAAGTCAACAAAGTTAGAACATTTCCCTTGGAGTAAAACAAAGACTATAGACATAACATTCACCAACAAAGAAAATTATAAGAGAATAAGCAAGCAAATTAAATGAACAATAAGGAGAATCAAATGTGAAGACAAAGAAAGTAAAAGTGTGAAATAGAGATATAACTAAAACAAAGAAATATCCAAGCTAAATTAAAGTTCCAAAGTTATCAAAAGTAATTATAAACTAACTAAAATTCTAAAGTTACTAAAATAGTTTTAAATTAACTTAAGAGTACTAAAATAATTCTAAACTAAATAATATTGTAAAAATTGCTAAATTAGTTATAAATTAAATTTAAAATTCTAAAGTTAATTAAATAAACTAAATGAAAATTCTATAATTAGTAACTAAACTAGATAAAGATTAAAACTCAAATGATAACTAAATTAAATTAAACTAAATAATAAAGCTAAAAAAAACAAATATTATTATAAGAAATACCATTAAAACAAAACTTAGAAAAAAATGAAAAAAAGAATACTCAACCAAATCTATTCCTTCTCTGTTATATTCAAAGAATAAAAATCTAGACAATTTGTGACATAGAATGTTTACTTTGTTTACTTGCATGATATGAAAGGGGAAAAATGATATACCAGAAAACTAATATACACACCAACAATATCCTTATGTAATTAAGATTCGCAAGACATTGATAACAAATTAAAAATTGAATGATATATACCATATAAAATTATGTCAGTTAATGTGCAATCAATTGAAAACAAAATCAAATGTTCATGAACCATCATCAAAACCAACAAAGGTAGATATATTGTTTGGTCCGTGAGCTACTGAGATTGACGGAAAAGGTGGGTATCGGAGAGGAGATAGCAGGTTGTTGCGATGGTGATGATGATAGGTGGAGGTTGGATGTTTGGCCGGTCAGTTTGATGAAGGTGACGGGAAATGCTACGGTGGGTTACAGCGGCTAAAGGTGTACTGATGGGTTAAGGGGTAGTATGAGAGAGAGAGAGGAAGCTATTGGTTTGCTGTTAGTTGTTTTTGGTGTGTAGTTACAAAGAGTGAAATAGGCTTTAAATAGGAAAATGAAAAGGAGAAAAAATGATATCAAATTAATCATGTCCGTTCAAAATAAATTCAGTAGGCATCAATCCGCAACTTTTGCCAACAACCAATAGAAATCAAGTATAGTGTAATTAATATTTTTTTATGACAAAAACGCCCTTAAATGATAAAAATGAAATAAAAAACTGAAAGTATTAAAATTAACTCAATTTAAAATAATTTTTTGGAATTTTTCTGAATAAAAAAAATAAAGACCCAAAATGACCAAAAACGATAAAAAAACGGACGAAAATTTATCTGAAAAAATAAAATGAACACATTAAAATAAACTACATGTCACAAAGATTAAAGAAAAAATATTCAAAAAAGTAAAAATAGGAATAAAATGATAATGAAAATACCAGGCTAAACAGACGTTTTACGGTTAAAAACGAGACTTCAAACTGTATCGAAAAAATAAAGCGAGCATACCGTCATAATCTATGCGAGATGCAGATTCATAAAATGATCGGTAAAAGGTGAAAACTTGAAATATTTTTCTCGCTAATTTTTCGCACATTGTTGAATCGCTTTTAACAGTTTGTCTATAAAACCAAAATATTTTTATTACCGACATATAAACAACTTGGAGCAATGCAAGAAACGAGTAAAGAGATAAAAATGCATGAAGTGAAATGTCAGGTATTTTTTTAACTAAAAGACGATGCAAACTTTGATTTAAACTGACTTTTCTGGTCAACTTAAATACGACTAATGATGCAAAATATGATGAATGAAGATATTTACTAATGATTGTGACCAAATGACAAAATATGGTATGAATGTGCGACTGAAAAAATTAGGGGCGAAATTAAGGGTGCAACGGTGTGCCTTGATGAATCAGTCTTCGAGAATCCACAATCAACCGTACTTCTGGCTTGGGAGTCTTCGAGAATCCACAATCAACCGTACTTCTGGCTTGGGAGACTCGAAACCTTAATCGAGGCGCGACACTTGATGCTCTTGATCCAGACCTGTCTATGCACATGAAACAAAAGAAAACATGAACATACACCTTTGTATGCGATTAGAAATTTGTGATACATAGGCTAAAAATGTTCAAAACACTTGACAATCTTCGCATAGTCAAAGCTCGAAGGTGAGAGGTTAAAACCGACCGTATTTCGTGACTTTGACTTATCTTTAAAAATGCAAAAATAAAAATGGGATCTTAGGTCAAAAATTGGGGTACAACAGCTGCCGCTATTTAAGTTTCTTCTATCTGGAGATATGAAGATTGGGATCTTCATTTCGACGAGATTGAAGGGACTTAAATATAGAATACACAATTTTTGGCCTTAAGATACCGCGATTATGTTCATGATATGATATGAATGTAATGCTCTGAATTTTATGGGGAATGACACCATATGAGACAGACTACGCTGGAGAAACCAAGCACATTATACAGTAATCCCACAGAGGAAGAGGTCGTAACTCCACTGGGGAAACAAAGTCATAGACTTCAAATGAGAGACTCTTGAATGATTTACATCAGTGTTGAGACTGGAAAAGAAATGATTTACATCAGTACGAAGACTGGAAAAAGAAATGATTTACATCAGCACTGAGACTGGAAAAAGAAATGATTTACATCAGCACTGAGACTGGAAAACAAAATGATTGACATCAGCACTGTGGCTGGAAAACAAAATGATTGACATTAGCACTGTGGCTGGAGATAAACATCTCTGATTTCTGAATTTTACCAAGAACGGTAACACATTTCTTCTTTAACCAAGATATCGCTTGAAAAGGATAAAATAACAAACTTCCCCACGGGACTTATCCGAAGGGATGCCATTTGCTGAGTAAACATTATCGTTGGGGATACACAAGCTGTTCAAATAAAGAGGCCGCCACTTGCTTCCTTTCAAAGGTGTTAATAACATACAAGCTGCTCATGAAGAGACCTCCACTTGCTGTCTTCAGAGAATATTAAAGCACATAAGCTGCTCATGAAGAGTCCGCCATTTGTTGCCAAAAACCCACAAGCTGCTCATAAAGAAGCTGCCACTTGTTGTCTTCAAAGAATATCAAAGCACACAAGCTGCTCATGAAGAGTCTTCCACTTGTTGCTTATAACCCACAAGCTGCTCATGAAGAGTTGCCACTTGCCATTTTCCGTACAAGCTGCTCATGAAGAGCTGCCACTTTCCGTTTTCCAAAGAAAAATAACGTACAAGCTACCCATGAAAGGACTGCCACTTGCCGTTTTTTCGAAGTGTCAAAAATATAAGTTGCCTCGGGAAGAGACTTCCGCTTGTTGTTTTCAAAGGTGATAATAACATACAAGTTGCTCATGAAGAGACCGCCGCTTGTTGTTTGTCAAGAGTATCCATAACACACAAGTTGCCTCATGAAGAGACTGCCACTTGCTGTTTGTCAAGAGTATCCATAACACACAAGTTGCCTCATGAAGAGATTGTCGCTTGCTGTTTGTCAAGAGTATCCATAACACACAAGTTGCCTCATGAAGAGACTGCCGCTTGTTGTTTGTCAAGAGTATCCATAACACACAAGTTGCCTCATGAAGAGACTGCCGCTTGCTGTTTTTCAAGAGTATCCATAACACACAAGTTGCCTCATGAAGAGACTGCCGCTTGCTGTTTGTCAAGAGTATCCATAACACACAACTTGCCTCATGAAGAGACTGCCGCTTGCTGTTTGTCAAGAGTATCCATAACACACAAGTTGCCTCATGAAGAGACTCCCGCTTGCTGTTTGTCAAGAGTATCCATAACACACAAGTTGCCTCATGAAGAGACTTCCGCTTGCTATTTGTCAAGAGAACAATAACACACAAGTTGCTCATGAAGAGACCGCCGCTTGTTGTTTTCAAAAAGATACCCATGAAATATCGTGAAGATATTGCTGGAGGTGAGAACCAATAATTTCATCGAGGATGGAAAAACTGCTCATGAAGAGACCGCCATTTGTCGTAGAGAAATCATAAATAATCAAACTGCTCAAATAAAGAGTCAGTCGCTTGTTGTCATGTCGATATTCCAGAAGAGGGTTGTGATAACACTGCTGGGGAATAAAGTTCATCTTCAATGGGGAACCATGAATACATCCTTCTTGAGGAGACCAAGTATTTACGTTGCAAAATAAATGCACTCTCCATCTAGGTTTCACAGCCTAGAGAGATCCACAGGGTATCGTTCACAAGAGACAAAGCTCAATCCAGGAATAAACTGAGAGAAAATAGTCAAACAAGACTCCACCCAATGAGGAAACAACTCAAATGGGGATTTATCCTATCCAGAGATGGAAAAGGAAAGCTAAAGCAAGATTCTTCCACGAGAGTTAACTCAGTGGGGAATTAGAAAAAAGGCACACTTTATGCTTAAGTTGACACTCTATTTGGAAAGATTAAATATGTTATTTGAATAGACATAACCAAGGTGTACGGACTCAATGACATCAACAAATACAACTGTGCATGCATGATGCAAGTGTGAATGAATAAATGAATGTCATGTATATGCTGACAAAACAGACAGGGGAGATAGACTGAAGATGATAAGACGTCACAGTACAACTCGACACTCGGCTAATCTCAACAGGATGCGAACATTACTGGAGATAAAACACATGCCATCATTGGAGCAAGGTCCTTTTACAAGGCTTAAATATCTCTGGAGAGGAAGATATTTTCAGGTAAAAAACCCAAAGTCCAGTCTTCTATTGCAAACAATCCATTGAAAGGATAACAATACAAACAAAGTTTCAGCTGGAAAAAGTCATGCTTAGTTGGAGATACTGGGAACACCACCCTCTGATAATGTGTGCAAAACATATCTTGACAAATCTGGATTGCCCCTGGGACTAATTTTGGATGCCCCGAGTTTACTGCTGATAAGCTGCATGTTGCATGACCATTCTTGCGAATAACTTCACTTCTAGAATGCCCCAAGCTATCTGGTTGATGAGGAGAAAT